GCCTGCCTCGCGACGGTGGGTGCAATGTTGGACATGGTGAGAATTGGAGTGTTGGGGTTGGGAGAGCAAATTGCCTCCCGAGGTATTAGAAGCTATGAAGTTTTAGCGCACGGATCTGCTTACTAAATGGGCCCCCAGCGTTCACGGCCACATTGTCCACTCGTCATGCATGGTTCATTGTTTGCCTGCACGACAAGATAGTCGTTCACGCGACCGCGCGCTGTCCTCAGCTTTTGGCCCTGGGTTTCTCGTGCACTAGCCGCAGCGGATCATTCACTCTTGGCGTGAAGTAATTGCACTCGTGCTCGTTTTCGCTCTCGGCGCTCCGCGACATCCGGCAGCCGTGGGCAGTTGGCTGGCATAGCCACAGGCGACGTCATCGACGATTCTAGCAGCCACGCCGGCGCCCGCATCGTTCGGCTGCTTCCTGCTGGCTTACATCTGCAGTCTCCACGGCGCCTCCTGATCCCTACTGTGTATCAATTCCCAGCAGACTTACAGACGTACCCCCACCATGAGTTGGAAAGGCCTAACAAAGACCGTCACCCGGGTACGACAGGCGCCCTCACACGGCCTTCGGGCATCAACACGTGCTAACATGATGGTTTAGGCGCCCCAAACCTTCAAGCAAAGATTCAACCTCGTACGTATTCTGCGAAGGCCTCCAGGGGCTCTCCCCTCTACGCGCCTGCTTCCGAGTACGATTGGGCCTTGCTAACAGAGCATGTAGGGCGAAATCACCAAGGACCCCATCTACACCGATGCCGAACGCCGCTTTCAGGAGCTGGAGAAGGAGACCAAGAAGCTCCATGACGAGTCCAAGAAGTATGCGCCTGTTGCGACACAGTCCTAGTTGCGATCCTGGCTAACATGCGACAGGTACTTCGAAGCCATAAATGGTGCGTAAACAACATGCAGCCCCACGCGATTCCGCCTAACCCACTTCGCAGGCATGCTCTCACATCAGATGGAGTTCTCGAAAGCGATCGCCGAAATCTACAAGCCCATCTCCGGCCGAATGTCAGATCCCGATTCATTCCTCGACGAAGGCAACACAGCAGGTATAGAAGCGTGCGAACAGTACGAGACAGTGGTCAGGGAACTGCAGGAAACACTCAAGCCCGAACTTGAGATGATAGAGTCCCGGGTTATTCGCCCGGCGGACGAGCTGCTAGTCATCATCAAGGCCGTACGAAAGATCGCCGCCAAGCGCGACCACAAGCAACTCGACTATGACAGACATCGCGCCGCATACAAGAAGCTCGAAGAGAAGAAGGACAAGACACTAAAGGATGAAAAGGCTATGTACAAGGCCGAGAATGATGTGGAACAGGCTACCCAGGACTACAACTACTTCAATGATCTGCTAAAGGACGAGCTACCGAAGCTGTTCACGCTGGAAAGAGAGTTCATCAAGCCTCTATTTCAGTCTTTCTACTACATGCAACTGAACGTCTTCTACACACTACACGAGCGCATGCAACGGCTCGACATCGGCTACTTCGACCTTACCCTGGACATCGAGGCTGCTTACCAGAAGAAGCGTGGCGACACGCAGGAGGAGGCGGAAAAGATCTCCATCGTGAAATTCAAGACTACCGGCGGAGCTCGTGTCGCTGGCGCACGTCCAGGCCAGTCAAAATACGCAACGAAAGCTCTGGAAGCCAAGGCAGGCCGAAGTTCAATATCAGAAGAGACGGAAACACCTCCTCCGCCATACTCTGCCGGACCTTCTGCAGCTACTGGAGATGTCAAATCCCCGACGCTATCAGCAGGTTCGTGGGGCTCTGCTGCCAAGGCCAAGGGCGCGCCTCCACCACCAAAGCCGAAGCCATCACGTCTCAGCGGTGTCCCGGCGACCGAAACTGTTACAGCTCTGTACGACTACGAGGCGCAAGCGGAAGGTGACCTGAGCTTCCTGACGGGCGACGTGATAGAAATCGTTTCAAGGACGCAGAACGACAATGAGTGGTGGATTGGAAAGGTACGGGGGAAGCAGGGACAATTCCCAGGTACGTACTTTCATTCGTGTGGGGAGGGAATATACTGATCAGATTTCAGGGAACTACGTCAAACTGAATTAGGGATTCAGTCCCCCATCTCCCACCTTGCGGTTACGAGGCCACACATGTTGAAGCATGGTGTTGCCAGTGTTGCGTTTACAGCATCGTTCGGGGTTTACGTTAGACTTCCGTGCTAGATTTAAGCGATCAGCACATGTATTTGCATTGTTCAGACTAATCTTCAATCCTATTCTGGGTACCGTCCATTTCAATTTGAGTATTTCTATGTCACAAAGCTCCTATTCGCATTTGGGTTTGCTAGCATACGATGCTGGAATGGACTAGCGCGCAGTAGGCGGTGATCTTTCCGCCGCACCCCGCATGACGTGTGCCGGAGACATGGAGCAGTGGAGCCCCTGCAAACTCGCGAACATCTTCAGGGTATCGTAAAGTAATTCTTCCAGGCCGTGGACTTCTACGAATCGGGCAGCAACCAAGTCCAAGTCCTTTTGTTTGCTATATCCATCATGTCTTACGAGTCAACGATCACCTTCACGCTCGACACAATATGTCCCTGGTACATCCACCCACCCTTCGCGCCACACCACCTCTTTAACCAATCCCTCACCCTACCACAGGACATACCTAGGCTTCATCCGCCTCAACCAAGCCCTCGCCAACTACCGCACCACCAACCCCTCTTCCCCAGCAACATTCACCCTCAAACTAGCACCCTACCAACTCTACCCCGACGCCACCCAAGAAGGCGTCAACAAATATGAATGGTACAAGAACGAAAAGTACGACGGCAGCGAAGACCGCATGAACAAGTACATGGCCGTCATGCGCGATTTGGGTAAACAAGAGGGGATTGAGTTTGATTTTGCAGGTGGGGTGGTTGCGAATACCTTGCATGCGCATCGTGTGTTGCAGTATCTGCAGAATAATAAAGAGGATGGTGCTGCACTTGAAGCTGTAAAATCTCTGTATACTCAGTATTTTGAGCAGCGCGCGCATCCATCCAGTCATGAAACGTTGGTCAAGGCGTGCACGGCAGCGGGGCTGGGTGAAGAGGAAGCGAAGAAGGTGGTAGAAGATAATGATGAGGAGTTGAGGGAGACGAAAGCGGCGATAAGGGAACAAGCCGGGAATGGGGTGGATAGCATGCCTTATGTTGTTTTTGAGGGCAGGAAGAGGGACTTTACGCTTGTGGGGGCGAAGACTGTGGCGGAGTATGAGAAGGTGCTTGGGCAGGTTGCTAAGGAGTGTACGTGAGGGTGTGTGGTTGGGTAGGGGATGTGTGTTACTGAAGGAATTGAAGTTTATATCGTTCTTTCTAGTCTTGCCAATCTCTCTACGGTATAGTGGAGTTTCTATGTTGACGATACTTCTGATTCGAGAGGACCTCATTGGATGGGTACATATGAATTTCGGAAGTTGTGAGGCGCTCGGCTGCTTCGCGCAAGGCGTAGTGAAGGAACGTCATTGCCATTATTGAACGGCATTGGGCATCAAAGCAAACACGAAGCAGCGAGGTACGTCACCCAAAGTACCATCAAAGTCATTGCAATCGGATCATCACGAGACGAGCGCGCAAACAAGAAGATGCGAGGTACGTCACTCATCACTATCTTGATCAATTAGCATGTACCCGATACATCGGATCTGCGTATCCCATATCCGATTCGACCCGTTTGGCGCTATACTAGGTCTGCTAGGCTCGAACGAGATAGTTATGCGAATATGTGGGGACTACATTCCCCTGACAGCCTTGCTAAGTTGTACCCGATGTGTCGCGGAATTCATCCCGGGATTCTGCATCGCGTAAATCGACACGCTTTTGGTCTCTTCGGAACTCGTCTGGTCTCTTACCAGACTTCGCACTTTTGTAGTACATCCATTCCGGAGAAGTGAATTCGATCGTTGCTTAATGCTCGATTTATTTCCATCGTTGATCAGACAGCAATGTATACTTTCGTAGAAGCTAGCTACTGGTTCTCCCTGCCCGTATGTTTATCCATGTATCTAGGCCACTTCATTCGCCAGATGTAACACTACGTGCACTACAATCCAGGCTACGATGGAGAAGTCAACACTACAGAAGGTCATGCCGCGGACATGAACGCCGCTTTCCCAAACAGCGATACTTTCCATGCCCACAATTCTCCAGTGAATCTAGGACTGAATTTTAGCGTCGGATGCAGCCATCGTCTGCATACTAACGGCAATAGCGGGTGATCCCTTCTATACGATCGTATACCCGCGGAATCAAATGCCGGAAGGGGTTCTACTAAACAGATCAATTGGACAAAGGGCTGTACTGACTCTCTTGGTCTGGAAAGCTTGTGTTGTTTGTAAGGGGCTTGTTGCTTTCTGAACAAGACCACCATGATCAACACAGTCCAAATGGGCCGCATCACACTGGCCTCTACTGACGAAACTGAACATTGACCAAGCATTGGGTTAAGTGAATGACCACGTGCTATACCGAATACCTGGGTGGTACATTAGAACGACTGGCGATCTTGGATTAGTAGGTGGCCTTGCAGGTTGAATTATGTCACTAGATGTAGATCTCGCTGCCCGTTACTACGTCAAGTACACTCTGACGAGTTGAATGGTTCGTACCTTCCATCTCGGGCTTCGCTGATACACGTCTTTGGAAACGGGCAATGCTCATTGGACCCGCAAGGCTGACGGCGTGACATCCTCACTTGATCTCTCGACAGAGAAGCTCAGTCCGTGTAGATCACGTATGCTGCATTTTATGGGGAAAGTGGGTTTCACGGGGAAGAAAGACGTAGGTGGCATAACATGGCATGGAAAGTTCCGATCGATCGACGATTTCGAGCAATGCTGGCTTCACGGCCAGCTATAAAACGAGGTGCTCGACCGCGAATTGATGAAGCATCTCACAGCAATATTGTATCACTCTCAAATACAATCTTACGATCAAGTATCTCAGCTACGACAAACCAACACACGAAAACCGCCATCATGCAGTATGTTGTCCATGCAAGGCCCACATTGCACACATCACTTACTCGAACCCAGGTTCTCAGTAAACTCCCTTGCGATGGTACTCGCAACCGCCATCACCACCACAATGGCTGCACCCACCAACAATCTCGCCGTGAGTGTCTCTTCTAAACACAGGGCGACACCCTCGCATAGTCATCCATCTAACACTCCCCCCAGCTCCGCCAAGACGACGGCGTAATCCGCTGCAAAGTCGAAGCCGAAGCCTCGCACTCCTACGGCGGCGGCGGCCCCGGCCAAGTCCCTATCGACATGACCAGCGGAGCAATCTACTGCTACGACGTCAACGACAACCGAGTCTTCTACAACACCGACGCCAACGTGAACAACTTCAATGGCGCTACCAACACCGTGTCGGGAGCGGACTGCCATACCCAAGGCGATGTCACGTTCCACACTGCGTATAATACTGCGAGTAACCACTTTGAGATTTGCACTATTACGTACAATGGGGCGGATACTCAGGGTGTGGTTACTAGTAACATTGATTCTGGGACGGTGAGCGTGTCGACGTCTTACTGTACTATCTATATTCCTTGCTAGGTGGTGGGGATGCTCGCTGGAAGAATAGTATCATGTCAATCAGTTACGAAGCTAAAGTAATAGCACCGAAGTTACCGTCAAATGAAAAGCGTGATACGTAGTAGTCGCCAGTATTACAGCATATCTACCTCGACCTTCTCCATTAGAGTGATTCGCTTCAAAACGCTCGATCGTTAGAAAGAAAGAGAGAAAACGCCAGTTTCTTGAACCAGAAATGAAACGAGCCACCCAGCCGCGTCTTCAACTGCCTTTCTCGCGATAAGAATGAGGCTAGTCCCGTACTCGTAGAAGAAGACAAACAGAGCGACAAGTAAGGAAAATGCCTGATCCCAGTCAAAAATCGCCTGCCGCGCACATGGTACGAAAGCACATCTGTTTCTCATCATGTAATCGCGACTAGTAGAAGGACTCAGCTTGGTGACAAAATCGATCATTGGAAGGACCGAAATCACGAGAACAACTCCTGCGAAAAGCGGGCCGGTGAAAGGACTGCCTGCTCCCTCCGGGTTCCATAGCCCCTCCATGAGCAAAGAAATGTTGCTCACCAACACAACGATACCCGCTAAAGTGCATGCTGTAAACAAGCAAAACACCAATAGGTGGTCGACCATTATCCTGTTAAAGTACGAAGCAGTACACACATTCGTGGCCCATGGTGTAAGCAGACCGATGCTGACGTACTGACGACGCCGCTTGATGTCGTTGATGATATCAGCATCCTGCCCCTTTGCCAGGAAACAGCATAATGCAAATTGTGCCGCGCCGTGTAGGATCCCAACCTGTACCACCGCTAAAGCGGCATTGATGTTCTGTAGTTGAGTATGGCTCACTTCTCCAAAGCCCTTCTGGTGTCGAACAGCCAGTGCCACCTGGCGTATGAGATCAATGGTGGCCCAGTTCGTGTATAGCAGATAGCTAATATAGTGCAGATTATGCTTGTGATCATTTTGCAAAATGGGTATCCAGGACGTGATGAGAGTAATAACCCATGCTGCCCAAGTTCCAGGGCCGTAGAATCCGCTGATCTGGGTGTAGTCGGGGGAGGATTCAGACATTTCGATAGACGCGTAGGACTGATGCAATATCGCGATATCGTTCAGGAGAGGGGAAATGGCGAAAGCAAGGAATCGTTATCGGCTTCAGACTCTTTTGAAGATGGCTGAGACGGTGGCTTCGATTGCCGTAGTTCGATGTGGTTGTAAACGAGTTCAAGGACGAGCGCGAAGTAAGATTAGGCTGCAATCTGAGCACAAGCGGCGCATGCTATCGGAAGCGAATAGTAGCAAGGCTACCTAGGTAGTTGTCGGGATGCGGCAGGTGCAACTGTACGTGAGCCACCACACTCTTGGATCTGGGTCGAAAAGCCCACAACTATGCGGACGTTGATATTGAACAAGCAACAAGATTTAGGGTAGGGTGTTACAGAGTAAGAAACGGGTGCGCTTTCCAGCGTCGGGTCAGCCTGATAAAGAACCGCACTATCGACGTGTTTGGCTTGCGCTCAGCCACACCCGCCAAGCCACCACCAGCTGGAAGCAAGAAACTTCTGCATACCTAATCGTGAACGAAATGGGCGTATATTCCTTGAGCTACACTACAGTTCGTGGCCAGGTTGTCTGCACACCTCGAGCTGCTTTTCTCCGAATGCGAAAAACCTTATTCCAAAACTCATACCCAAACTCATACAAGAAAAAGTACAAAGCAACTGCCAAAGCAAAGGCCTGGTCTGATTCCCCAATACTCTGCGGCGCACAGGGAACGAAATAACACCGTGGGGGCAAGCTAGAGTTCAAAAGTGTCTGCCAAGCTCCCAATGCACTAGGAGCAATGTACGCAGAACAAAAGAGGGAACATGGAAGCAGCGCTCCAACAAGCAAGACCAAGCAACGTCGCGCCTTCAACCGACTTTCCGGCTCCCGCATGAGTGAATTAACACAAAATACCAGCTGCGTAACGACCTGGTATAGTCCAACATGTATCACCGCCATGGAAGCAGCAATATTGTGAAGCCGTGCGCGGCCTTGGTCTGAGAGATCGTCCCGGTCTTGTGAAGGGGCCTGAGAACCATGGCGTATAAAGTCAATTGTTGCCCAGTTCGTGTACATTGCGTATCCGATGAAGTGGAGGTTGTGCGTGTAGTCGTCTCGGAGGAGGGAAATCCACGATGCAACCATGGTGATGATCCACGTAGCCCAGGCGCCAGGACCGTAGAAGCCGTTCACTTGAATCGACTCGGGCGACGGTTGGGACATCTCGACCGGCGGTTCGAATTGATTTGGTAGTGCCACGTCGAGGTTTCGATAAGGTTGTAGACGACAACAACAAGGCTGAGAGGATGTGACAAGTGGGTATCAATAGCAGAGAAGTAATAAGAAAGAGTAGCGGAAGAGTCGGCACAACAGCAAGTATATCCTCAGGCGGCAGTCCAGCCTGAAGGGGAAGCGCACGACATACGTCTGTGGCGTGCGCTCAGCCACACTTGCCAAAAGTGGGGCCTGAGTGAACTAGACCGGCCTGGACCAGCCACTACCAGACCAACAGCCAGCAGCAAGAAACCGTCTGGATAAAGATAGATGGGTTGTACGCAGTTGAAAAAGAACGGCAAGGCAGCAATCTTCACATCTCTGTCTGCTACGGCCTAAGCCCCTCCGGCGACCCCTCCTCCCTATCCCCATCATCTCGACCCGCCCCTCTCCTCCTCATCCTAAACCACCCCCCTTTCCCTCTCCCCTCTCCCTCCAAATCCCCATCCCTCTCCCCCATCCCCACAACAACCAACTGCTCCCCCTTCCTCTTAACAATCCAATCAACCGTCATATCCCTCTTCTGCGGCCCCTCCTGCGGCCTCCCCGCAAAAAGGCCATCCGACGGCGGAGAATGGTATCCTAGTACAAAAAGCACAAGCGGCTCGCACAAATCCGTGATGAGTTTGATGCGCAGCAGCACGGCGAAGTAGATCAGGATGAAGATGTTGATGAGGAGGGTGAGAGCGAGGACAACGAGGAGCGCTTTCTGGTAACTCTTCTCGCCGCCGGACATGTACTGTGCTACACGGACGGAAGCGTTGAAATACTGCATTTGGGGGGTGGTGAAGTCGTCGGCGGAGGTGGGGGAGAAGGGTTGGAAGGGGAAGTTTTGGGTTAGGTCGAGGACGGTGCATGTTGTCATACTCAGTAATGCTTCCGCGGGACTCGGTAGTGTTTTGTTGAGCTTGGGTTCGGTGAGTTGGAGTTGGGTGAATATACGGGCTGTTGAGGCGTCGCCGTCGAAGACTCCGTTGTTTAGACTGAGGGAGTTGAGGAGGTTGAAACCTAGGTCGCGCCAGCCGACTAGGGCTGCTCTATCGCCGGTGGAACGGAGGGGTTGGATGGCGGAGTCGTCGCTGTGCTTTCCGTTTGCGTCGTCGCAGACTGCTTCGAGGCTTTGGCCGCCGGATGAGGCGTTGTAGCGTGTAGTGCAGGAAGTTGTGATGCCGGCTTTCATAGAGCAGAGGAAGTAGTCCTCGGTGGTGTTGTCGGGTGCTTTGCCGAGCAGGTAGACTTCTGGTCGGTCGCCGAGCTCGTACGGTACTTGAGTGTGGTTTGCGATCTGCCTTGTTAGCCTTTCATCTTCTGATTCAATCGAACCCGCTTACTGTGTTTCCTGCTTTCGGGTACTTGAGAAAGACTGTATGACATTAGTAAATGTCATTCATGCAGAGGATCGGACTTACTTGGTCTAGCACGCGAGTGATCTTCCGTCTCGTCCTTCCACCCAAACACATCATCAAGCACCGTTTTATTGTTTGTGTTGGTGCCTTCAGGAAATCCTAGAATAGGCCACCAGTTGACCGACTTCGAGCCTTCTTCCATAGGAATGGCGTTGGGCCAATTGGTGTATATTAGCGGTGCTAGCTCCTCCTCTTTGACATTGACACAAAGTGCGTTGAGTGCGAAGCTGGCGACTGAAGCGTGGATAGAGTATGAGCCACCATCATGCAGATCCTAGAAACATTAGTATGGTACGAATGTGGCATGAATGATGTACCTACTTCTGGCTGCAGCAAGTCATTCTGAACATTGCGAGCTGCTGCCGGTATCCCTCGATGAGGGACGGCTATTGTGATGTTGTTGACTGTACCAGTTCAGCGACGTAAGATCAGAGGAATACCGGCCACGTACTTATCCTGCCTGCCTTTTCAGACTCAGTGGCGACATCGTGATTATCAAGCCACGCAGTAGTAACAGTGACGTTGTTGTCTAGCGACGCACTGATCGGCTTTCGTTCCAGAAGGCGCTCAGACATCCAAGCAGGGTTTGTTGCAGCTGCTTGATCGTCCCATGCGGACATGTATTTGATAAAGTTGCGGCCACATAGCGAAGACCACTTCATGGCAAGACATGTGCTACCGCCCCATTGTGTGTCGCCGACATCAGGCCAGGCAGTGAGACAAGTCTTATCAGCTTTCAAGGTGCTGGAGAAGTCGCCATCTACTTGACCAGCAAGCATTTGATGCTCCCAAGGTGGGAGGCGTAGCTGTGGTTGCACTGAGATGTGTTAGCGACTCGTGATAGAAGACCAAGGGTACTGGCATACCAAGAGCACCTGCCGCGGTTGTATATAGTAGAGAGAGAATGGCCGTAATCAGTGAGAGTACTCCCAATACGCTGAAGCCAGCGACCCTGACGCTGTGCCACCCGCTGAATAATTTCCCTGGTTGACTTTCCAAAATCAGCCAACGTGAGCGCTGGCCCGAAACGCTGTCAACTTACAGAATCCAGGATCGCATCGAGACACTAGCCAGATTGATGCCTTTCTGCTGAATAGCTCTTCGCGACAGGACCTGCCCTATGAATGCCAAGAATACCATCACGAACGACAGCTCGACAGTCTTGGCGATGAAAGCCGTCAATAGCGCCGCCGAGGAAGGGGAAAATCGCCCACGTGCTGATACGACATGTCCATATTTTGGCTGTATCAAGGCGACGATGAAGAACAAGGCCGAACATAAAGTCGAGTATAATGACGTCAATAGTAGTGTTATTGAATATCCACTTCGTTGTGGTTCAAGTAGGCCTTGGGTGTACAAAAGTGGTAGCATGCTCCTCGAGCTATCTAACCAGATTGAGCATTCCACGCAGACAAATCAGGGGGGTCGTCTTACTTTTGGAGTCGGCGGTGAAGCTCCTCATGCTGCGTCCATCCGCCGGACTAAGGAAGGGGTTCTCCGCAGCGTCGTCTCGCGGGCTCGCCATGCTGTCGGGATGATGGCCGTAACCAAGACCATGGACGACCCGCTATATACGCGAAGAGAGTCTGAAAATCAAGGATAAGCGAAGGATGGGGCGCAGGTCGCAGAAGCGGCGCGGTGAGGTGAAGCAGGTTATGATTATTTTAGTGGTTTCAGAGCGGCCGAGCGGTCGTCTGCGCCCCACGTCAGCGCCGTTGATCGTCTAGCAGATCACATTATCGGATGCGACGGAAACTGAGGAATACGATGTCAACCATCTAAATGCCATTATTTCTGATCTAACATGTGCTTGAACTTTTCGATCTGCATTATTGTCAGCAAATCTTGCATCTCGAAGTGTCGCAATCTGGCGTGGGCTCACCTTGGTACTAAGATACTTCTCTACTTCTTCGCTCTTGATGCCCTTCATGCCGCCTGTCTTCCACGCAAGCGGAACCATGGCGACGCGCTCCCTCACGACGACTTCTCTATTCGGGCCCTCAACAGCATGGACTTTATCTGGGTTGTTGGTCAAAAGTCTAATCCCTCTGTCTCCGTCTAAGCCCAGGTCCATGAGCATAGCCGTGGCCAAGCCGTAGCTTCGCGCATCTGCAGGATGCCGTAACATGATGTTTGCTTCGTATGTGTCGTTGCCTAGATCTTGCAGATTGTATGCCTTGAGCTTTTCGCCTAGACCAATTCCACGACCCTCTTGGCGGAGATAGATAATAGCACCACCAGAAGGTGACAGAGTAGGATCGGCCATAAGCCGCGCGGCTTCGTCGAGCTGCTCACCGCAGTCGCAGCGCGCAGACCAGACAGTCTCGCCGGTGTAGCATTCGGAGTGTATGCGAACCATAGGCAATTCTAGTGAAGAAGCCGGCTGCACGTCGCCGTTCTCGGATGAGGATGCAGAGGCTGGCGACAACAGGCCGTTGCTCTTGTCCACGTGCGCCGAGTCGGCGTCGGGCTTGCGCTTCGAGGGCACGCCCTCCTGCCTCTTGAGCTGCTCAACCCGCGAACTGGTTCTCCCAGGGTACAGGCGTCCTACGTATGCGCCTCTCGTCATGCGGTCTAGCTCCGTCTCTCCCGGGCGCTCTGCATCCAGCGATCTCGAGCGTATTTGGCTCCCAAAGACAATTGCCAGGTGTTCCTTGGTGTCTACGCTGTTCCTGTACACGTGCAGCCACATCTCATGCCCCGTGGTTGTGGGTATCCGCGCACGCACTTCGCACTCGACTGTGGGCAGCTTGGGCAGCAGGTCCGGCCGCGGCGTGTCGGTGCGCACTGAGGTATCGACTGGTATGGAGCGGGGTGGCCGGGGCCGCGAGGGGGTCGAGACGCCCGGTGTCGCTGGAGGCGTGAAGGCGGGCGATATTATCGAGGGCGGGGGGCTGTGGTGTTCATCGCCGTTTGCGACCCGTTCCGGCGTCTCTCCCTCGAGCTGTGACGTCTGGAAGTCGAAGCCGTCTCGGCCGGCGCTCGAGAGGTGTGGTGAGAAATGCGGCGGGAATGCGGTCATGTTGGAGGAGGGCATGTTGGAGCGGGCATATAAAATAGCACAGGTGACAAGTGAAAGGGCAGGGTAGTCGCTCTAGTACTGCAATCGCATCGCAAGTGAGACTGAAGGCGTGAGGTACTCTCCAGCGCCAGTGGGGTCGAATGACTGAATGACATATCCGAAGCCGCTGCTCGGACCCGCCGCCTTCTAGCCGCGGCTGCGCAAAATCACTAAGCACACCACCTGTGTCAGCAATTAGGAATCGGGGTAGACGCTTCCGACGATTATTTCCCCGACTCGGCTGACTGCCTAGCCGTGAGGTCGGAGCAATTGCACAGCTGGTTTTCGGGAGGAACATGTGACTCGAGAATTTCGATTTTCTGGCTACAGAACCTTCCTTCACATGCGAACGCATTCTCCATAATGTCCTCAGCTTTGCGTTCGAAAGTGCCTCTTTCTGTGCATCCCAGGCAATTGCTGATTCGGCCAAGAATGCGGCTTCAGGATCTTCGGCATTTTCGAGATGACCACTACGTAGAGAGGAAATTGGCTTGGATTGTGAAGAAATCGCGCGAAGGCGCTTTGCCGGTGACGTAGCGGGCTGCTCGACCTTGTACCAGAATCGACAAAATCGGCCCCGTCAACCCTTGAACATCGCATGAATCAATCCACCCGACGCTCTCTACCCCAAACCTCGTCTGCGTTCTTCTTGCCTTTCGTCTCGGGCACAAACCACGTGATGAAAACGAAGAAGAACGCTGACAGTGCCGCGAAAATAAAGTAGACATATCCGTGCAGCTTTGCGCTTGCTAGCGGGAAGAACTGTGCCACGATGAATGTAGCGATCCAGTTGGCCCCGAGCGCAATACTTTGTGTTGCATCGACAGCATCCGGGCCAACCAGCTCGCTCGCTAGGATGAAGGGCACCGGGCCAAGACCAACAGCGAAGCCGGATACGAACAGCAGGACAGCAACTGCGGAAAGGACAGAGATTGACTTGATGATGCCAATAGCAAGTAGGAGCGAGCTCGTGCCCATGATGGCAAGAGAGCTGAGCAGGCAGACCTTGCGACCCAGTTTGTCAGCAAGGGGCGCGCAGCCGGCGGTGACGATGATGTTGAGCGCTGAGACGGCAAGGTTGAGCAGCGCAGAGTTGGACTCGAGCAAGCCTGCTAGGAGCGACACGCCGTACATGACGATGCTGTTGATGCCGCTGAACTGCTGCGCCAGCATGACCATGACGACAGCAATGGCGGCTTTTTGGTAGTCGGGATGGCGGAAGACTTGCATGATGCTCAGCGTCTGTTCTTTGCCGGATTCCTTGGGCCTCGCCTCAGCCGACCCATCTTCGTTGCTCAGTAGTGTCTGCTCCTCCTCTGGGGAGATGTTAGCATGCTGTCCTCTAACGGAAAGGCTTAGATAACATACCACTGACATTGCCGGAGCCCGAGACTCCCCAGTCGTTCATCTCGTCTTCAATGTCTGCATGTTCTCCTCTGATCTTGCGCAAAGTCTTCTTCGCGAGCGAGACATTACCCTGCTCTGCGATGTACTTTGGGCTCTCGACCGACAGCAGCAGTCCGGCGCCTTGTACAGCACCGATGACACCTCCAATGGCCAAGATGAGCCTCCAGTAAGAGTCGTGGCTCAAGAAGTAGCCCAGCAACTGCGTGATCAGGATGCCCACGTTGCACCCGATCTGTGTAAAGGCACCGAAGAAGCCCTTCTCGCCCGGCGGTGCAATCTCAGAGATGTAGAGGGGCACAATGACGACGGCCGCGCCTGCACCGACTCCTGACAACAGCCGTCCAAACGCCATGACTCCAATGTTTGGACTCAGCGCCTCGAAGATCGGGCCCACGGCGAAGAAGATCGAAAATAGCTGCATAGACCTGAGGCGGCCGTATTTGCCTGCCACTGGCCCTGCTGAGAGCGCTCCTACCAGACCTCCCATTGTGTACAGCGACCCCACGACGCCCCATTCGGTTGGGCTCATCTCGATACATTGCGGGAGGTTCGGGCCAGCGACGGCCGACGTGATAGACTTGCGTTTACAGCGGATGACATCTTCGGGCGCGTTCAGCTCAGACTGGGCGTGTTAGCTATGCGCCGGCAAGCATGACGTTGGGACCCACCAGGTGAAAGCCGAAGAGGAGCGGGCCGAGAGTCGCAATAGACAGGATGTAGACAAAGTAGCCCGTCAGGCTGCTGAACCACGAACGCGGGTCCATGGCGGGGTCTACGTTACGTGGTAGAGGTGAGGTGTGAGGTTTGGGGCGCCGTTGTAGCTTCTTGGACGTGTCAGCCGCCTCGTAGAACGTGACATCGCGATGACGATGCTGCACCGCGCCTACCTGTTCAGGCTGCTCAGATAAGAGCGATAAGGGTTTGATTATCACCGCATAGACATGGAGGTTCCAAGGCTGTCATGAAGCGTGAGGTTTCACGGTGGTGGCATGAGAAGCTTGGACAAGGACTGGCCGAAGCAAGTGGTTGGGTCCAAGACTGAGGCTCTGCGGGGAGCCATACTTGGTAGGCTCCATTGATATGTGATTGGAACCTGTTTCTCAACCCATAGACCTCGGGACCCTCTAAACCTCAAGCCAGACATCCTACACATTCTGCGCATCTATCGACACGGAAGCTCGCCATCTCGGACCGCGTCCCACACGTGCAGGACTCACCGGAATAGTTCCGTGGACGCGTTACGGCCGCGTCGGGCGTGGAGACGTCAGCTAAACGAGAGGCTGAGGCAGATGGCAAAAGCATGAGCCAGCGCTCCAAGTCCCCGCCGGCCTCGTCGGCTTCTGTTGCGGCATCCGCCCGAGCCCCATCGCACAAGAACAGCACTGCGACAGCTCCCGACGGTACGCCTCTGCTTTCTCTACGTGTCCATCAGTCATTCCCTCCTGTATGTTCGCGTGTCCTTCCCCGTCCAGCCTCCCCTCAAGTCACCGTCGCTTCACGTTGCCTCATCTGGCGCCTCCTGGCTGAACGCCACTGCCTGCGTGATTGTTGTTCCTGCCGTCAGCAATTGCCGTTCGTGTCCGCATCACCCTCTTCTGTTGACGTTGCTGGACCCTGCTGCATCTTCCGAGCTATCATTTTTACATTAGCCCCTAAGAGCGAGTACTAAACCTGTTCCTGAAGACCCGCTAGATTCCGTTGATGCCATGTTTACTGGCTACAACAACAAGAAGCGAGTCACAGAGCGCTACAAGATTGTCGGCTTCATCAGCAGCGGTACCTATGGGCGCGTCTACAAAGCCGAGGGCAAGAATGGCCGCACCGGCGAGTTCGCCATCAAGAAGTAGGTCGAGCGGACCATGACCGCCATATCTGCTAATGCGCCCAGGTTCAAGCCGGACAAAGAAGGCGAACTCCAATACTCTGGCATTTCGCAATCAGCCATACGCGAGATGGCACTGTGTACTGAGCTCGCGCATCCCAACGTCGTGCACACCGTAGAGATCATCCTGGAGGACAAGTGTATCTACATCGTCTTCGAATATGCCGAACACGATTTACTGCAGATCATTCACCACCATAATCAACCTCAACGGCAGGCGATACCTGCACCGACCATCAAGTCTATTCTTTATCAGCTGCTGCAGGGACTGGTCTACCTGCACCGGAATTGGGTCATGCACCGCGATCTCAAGCCTGCTAACATCATGGTCACCAGTGCTGGCAAAGTCAAAATAGGCGACTTGGGTCTTGCTCGCTTGTTCTACAAACCGCTACAATCACTCTTCTCAGGCGACAAGGTCGTCGTGACAATATGGTATCGCGCACCTGAGCTCCTTCTCGGTAGTCGTCACTACACTCCTGCAGTCGATCTGTGGGCGGTGGGGTGCATCTTTGCTGAACTGCTATCCCTACGGCCCATCTTCAAAGGAGAGGAGGCAAAGATGGACAGCAAGAAGACGGTCCCGTTCCAGCGCAACCAGATGCAGAAGATAGTCGAGATCATGGGCATGCCAAGCAAAGATCGGTGGCCGCTACTGACGGCCATGCCCGAACATCCTCAGCTCTCGTCCCTGGCCTCAGGCAACGCTGCACGATTTCCGCGTCCTCAAGGTGGCGATGGCTTAGAACGATGGTATCACCAGACCCTCAACAACAACCAGTATCCAATAGGCTCTGGACCAGATACACCTGGACCCGAAGGACTCTCGCTGCTCAAACAGCTGCTTGAGTACGACCCCCAGAAACGACTCACAGCGGAGAAAGCGCTGTCACATCCCTACTTCACCGTTCACGGCAAACCAGCCGACAGCTGCTTCGAGGACTCGAAGATCAAGTACCCCGTCAGGAGGGTCAGCCAGGAGGACAACGATATCCGCACGTCTAGTCTACCAGGTACTAAGAGGAGTGGCCTTCCGGACGACTCAATCATTGGACGTCCCGCCAAACGTCTCAAGGAAGGATGAAGAGACTCGACACCACACTGTTGTGCTGCGCTGTGATCTGTACGGGCGATGCGATGCAGCTTCCCGTGTGTACGTACTGCCACAGTCGTTGCGGCAAATTTATCCATGGTTGTCGGCATGGTGTTACCTGACCGGACCGATGAACAGCGGCCTTGGCGGCGCAGACGGCTCTGTGCGAGTCACCATCTTACACAAGCGTCTTGGTGAGGATCTTGGGACGCTCTCGGCCCTAATGTTGGTGTGACACGAACACGGCGGGAATCTGATGCTGTACCAGCATTAGTCGACGAACGGGTCCACGACGACGCAGGGGCAACGCGTTCGATGAGCAGGTGCGAGTACACTGTCCTGCTGTATCGGTTTAGTGGGATCCAGGTTGCGCGAAACCCTGGTAATGGGCTCTGAAACCAATGGTACGTCTTGTTTGTACTTGGGAACTGCTTTCCGTTCGTACTGGGAGCAGAACAGTGTACAAAAAGGATCCTTGGGCGTTTTGGCACCTACGCTGCGTCATCGCGACGGCGTTGGTCTTGAGACATTCAAGTCAGCCTCTCTTACCCTAACGCATACACAACGAGGGAAAGACGTCCTGTCAACGGCAGCCACCAAGTACAAGTGCGACGTTTCTCAGGACCAAAATGTCTTTGACACCACCTGGGCCGAGTCGGACGGCCGAGGCGATGCTATTGCCATGCCTCAATGGTGGTGCTAGACTAGATCATCATTTAGGCATTCATACCACATATTAGTCTCTCTGTTACTTCTTCTACCAATCCCAGCCTGCCATAGAGGGACTATGCTGATTCGCGCTGCGCATGCTCATCTGGCTCCGCTGTCGTCACTCGTCGCGAACGCCACCCTGCGTGCTTGTGTTGCCGGTCTCCTTCACATGTCTATTTTGTGCGTTGATCTAACGATGTATGGAATTACAGCTAGCGTAGTGGGCTCCACGAGGTCACGGTAGAGGGGTAGTGGTGTGTGAAAGGCGCGCACGCATCCAGTTCGTGGTCAGTGTTCGGCGATACCTTCAAGTAAGTTCGCAACAGGGTAGTGGCAACGCAGTGAAGAGACTAATCGAGTAGCAGGCCTGTACCGCCACTTGGCGTCTGCGAAGCGCAACGGACTCGTCCTACCTCTCGTCTACCCCGGCTGAGATTACACGAACGACCGCTGCAGCAGGTCTGCTGCCTCTGCTCATCATTCACCGTCAACGGTGCTCAATGCCGGACTGCCCTCTCTTGAAGTAGGCACCCGGCTGGTTGGTGCGCCTTCCGCAATCGTCTGTTTGCGGCGCTAGTACGTGAAGCCAGGCGCAACCATCAACAACACGCCATGGTGGACGTCAGCCCACGTCTTTGACCATATAAACCCCAGCGACCTCGTTTCCTTCTTACTTCGTCACTCGTTCAACCTATTTTCGCTCCTTAGATTGCCTTTCATTTATTCGCCTCGGTCCAGTGCCTGGCATCTCAGCTGCACTTGCTATCCTCTCACCTCTACCAACTGCACCTCTCCCTAGGCCATTCTCCTACATATCGACGACCTAGTATCTCAGAACGTAGCCATGAAGTTCTTCGCCAAACTCCTAGCTCTTACGGCAGCTACTGCTTTCGCCGCCCCCAGGCACGAGATCAAGCACCGAGATCTCGTCGCCGATGACGCTCCACAACAGGACGACCCGAATTTCATTAGCGCCGTCATGCGAGCCCATTGGTACTGGCGCAAATTGCATTGTGCGCAGGACCTTATTTGGGACACTGAGCTTGCCGACGCCGCGCGGGCTGACATTGAAGAGTGTCCAAAGGACCCTGAACACGTACGTAGTTGGCACGATGACAGGCATGGCACAGCTGACATGAACAGAAACGCTCCGGCAGTAACCTCTCTTCCGTGAACCCACCTCCTGACGGTTACGACGCTTGGATCGAGTTCGCCCGCACTGCCACGCACGGCTGGCACGAAGAGGAGACCAAGTACCCCTACGACAACCCACATTTTGATGCAGCATGGGGTCACTTCACGCAGATGGTGTGGCGCAACAGCACACGTCTTGGCTGTGCTCTTGGACACTGCGACGACGGCGTTAATTGGCCGGGTCGCTTCTACTGCTGTAAGTTCAATGCGTCGTAGCTCGAGGGCATCAGTGCTGAAACTCACAGACTACTCGTTCTTTGGCAATAACATTGCGGCTGGGCAGTTCGAGGCTCAGGTTTGGGCGCCTGTATGCAGTGACCCCAGTGTTGGCGAGGTCCAGGCGCGTGAGGACGTCAACTTCGACTGGAAGCGAGTCTGAAACGCTCACGCTCCAACGTGACACTGCGCTTCGCGTGCCGCCTGCGTAACGATGTTCACGACAGCGTCTCCTTTCCTCACCACCTTGTTTGGCGCTATACCCTGTCCACGGATCTCATTTCGCACATACTTTGTCTACTTGGAGATGTGCTGCCGCTTGTCAGGCATGCCTGGTCATATCATTGGTCTTGACTACACCTCTGGTTTTCTCTTTTCGATGGCCGATTCAAGTGGTTGGCTATGCTAGCACATGTTGAGATACTGTTGAGCAATGCTATGGTGTAGCCTCTTGGTTATGGTTAGACGAAATGCAAAGGGTTGGTTACAAATTAACTTCTTGAGCTGCTTTCCCCCTTCCAAACGTTGCTGTGTCAGTAACTGCGAAAGATGTCATGGACTGAGCATGAAGATTCTCCGACTTTTGCTACGTCAAACAATGAAAGCTAGCAATCATGGTTGTTTGTTCAGGCGGCATAATAGGAAGGCATTTCGACCATGGAGCGTTTTCATACTCTCTCAACTTCGGATATAATCGTAGTTCAAAATGCCTCGAAACGATACGGCATTCACTTGGACGACACTCCTCAGCACACGTGGTTTCTTAAGCACTGTTGCTGGCGTTCTATTTAGTAAAGTTGCCAGTCCAGACTACGAACAGCTCGTCGACTCAATCAAAGCTAACGCCCTCCTCCTTTACTCTGACATATCAACTACCGTCTGCACTTTCCGCACCAAGCCAACGTGGTTTAGATGTCGTAAGAAGGGCTTATGGACTGCGACATTGACTAGAAATGCGGATAAGTTGGTCTTGAAGAGGGTTCATGGGAGAAGCAGTAAAGAGGCTGCTTTGAAGGCGCTGAATAGCGAAGTGAAGAGGATGTTGAAGGAGAACAGAAAGTAGATGGAGTTAGAAGTGGACTACGTGCTTGGGGAAGAGTTTGGAGAGAGGAATGGGAGAAATGAAGGGGATGCGTGAAGTGAAGAGGGGTTTTGCTATGGGATGCCGGAGTTTTCGGGATGAATGTTATCTGCGGACACATCTCGTGACCTCACGAGAGATTAGGAGCATAGCAGAAGGCGAGACCAGAGTCTTTGCAAAACCAATACACAAGCGTCGTCTAAACCCTGAGAAGTAAACTGGAGACACAGATAAGTGTCGGGCCGAAAGCCTTGGAGTGTTCTTGAACAGTAGAATCGGTAAACACGATCGAAAAATAAATAATCAAACGATTCCAAGTCAACGCCCAGCTATACAAGCCTCATGTTTGGTGTCGCGAACGATGGTTCAGCCTCATGCACTGCACGGGGCCTCGCGATCGGTGCCTGCGGGCGGCAATTCCGCGGATCGCGAAGCACAATCGGTCCTACAAGACACGACAAACCCCCCCATGATCTCCATCTGACCCATAACCATCAGCCAGATCCTCTTTAATCCACTCTTGTCAACTCACTTTTCCATCCCTCGTTTCGAGAACAGCGTTCGCAAAACATCGGCATCTTGATCAGCGAGGGAAGTCGGTCATGAGCGGGCGATCCCTGCATAACGGCCATGCGCCAGTGGACGGATTGCATCATTGAACGCCACCATGGCCTCGAATCTTGCCTCGCACGCAGCGAGAGCCGCAACGCGCGACGGGCAAGCCACTCGGAGCCCCCACTAAAGGCGTGCTTTTGTCCGCCCTGCCATCAGAGATACAGGCAAGCACGGCGGGTGAGGGGCGTGACGGATCCATCTCCGCGTGGGTTTAACACGAGCGACAGGCACGAGAGAGTCTAGCCCTCTGCCTTCCCTGGCTGCACCTTCCTCGTGGGTCTCGCGCGTGCTTGCCAGAGTCTACACTTGTTTACCGGGTTTTAAGGTTGCGCCTTCTCTTTCTTTCCGCCAATTTTCGACGAATTGACTGCAATCGATCGACATTACGACCCCGACTGTTCTATCACCACGACATACTACACTGCACTCACTCGCATTGTAGCCCACGATGCTGGAGAGGCAGCAACCTGCGCTGCGGGACGACGCCAGAGACGCCGCGCCGAGGTTGCCAGTCTCGCTCTCGGGAGAGATCAACGCTGCTACACGGTATGATCCTGGTGTTGTATCACCTTGGAGCCAGTCCACGATGCTAATAATACACGTCCAGTTCTCTGCACACAAACCTTAACCGGCTCATAACCTCGCGCCTGCCGCTTGCGCTCCCGCCTTACACGACAGACGCCACACTCTACGCAACCGGCCTGCTGCATTTCGCCCACATCTTCCTCACCTTCGAGTCACTGTGGGCAGATCTGCTGCGCGACCATGCCCCAGCCTCACATTCCGCCTCCACACACCCCGCAGTCGATTCTGAACCCGCTTCCCCACCCTTCTCGCCACTGTTGTCGTATCTCCTCGTAAACCCGTATGACTCGCCCTCACTCTTTACGTCAACACTTGGTGCGCCAACACCGCCTTCTCCACAACTCGCTGCTTTTCTGAAAGCGCTACGCCCAAGGGGTTTGATACGGTCGAGTCGGCTGAAGAGGGATCTGGAGTATCTGCTTGGAGTACACCCCACAGACCTCGAAGTCTTGCTAGCAAAATACCCCGGAGACAAGGTCGCCGATTTCTGCACACACATCCGCAAGAGCGTGAACGAGAAGCCCTGGACGCTGGTCAGCTATGCGTGGTGTTTCTACATGGCCGTCTTTTCCGGAGGCCGCTGGATACGAGGGACGCTCTTGAAAGCACCTCCAGGCTTCTGGCCAGAGCAAGACGGCGAAGAGACGAGTCTAGAAGAGCGCGGCCTGTCCTTCTGGCATTTCCTCGGACCCCACGACGGCGAAGACATCAAAGCAGATTTCAAAACCCAACTCCTCGCCGCGGAGACCCTCTTCACACCCGACGAGCGCGTCGACATCATCGAAGAAGCCAAGAACATATTCCGCCTTTGCGCGACACTCGTGGATGAGCTGGATGAGTCGATCGGCACAGATATGGCGCGCATGGAAGCGACACCTCAAGTTCACCCCGAACCCAAGATTCCGAATTCGAGCGAAAAAGCGCCCCTCGTCGATACAAATGTCGCTGTTATCGGACATGTGATGAAGACGGGTGACCCGTTCAAGACATTTCTTAGGAGGCCAGAGGTCACGGGTACCCTGGTCGCTATTGGCTGTCTGGCTGTGGTCACGTTGTTCAAGTTGCAGTGAGACAACAACACCATGCGCTCGGTGTCACGACTGGTTTTCTTTTCTTCCTTTCGCAAATACTCGGCGGGCACCTTTTTTCTTAGTTCAAATGATTAGCGCTAATAGCCGCATCTGGCGTGATGCATTTTTGTTTGTGCATGAGCGACATGGCGGTATGGCATGACGACTGCCTCGGTTTCTGCGTCTGGTTTTCATGGGCTATGGCATCATGGGAGTTTTACTCGAGTTCAGCGGGCTAGGATTAGCCTGCCATTTAGTGGAGTTTTTTTTTTCATCCAGCTTCGTCCGGAGGCCTATCTGAGACTACATCAGTAGTCGGTGCATGTATGGAGAAATGGCATGAGATACCCCCTGCAGTAGTGGTTTATAGATGTATACATGGTTTCTGCTTCTTTGTATTGGTTTGTGGTCTTGATGTTGTTTGAATGACTTGCTGTGAAGAGTTTGGTGTGGTGGAGAGACGATGGGTTTGCGCAGCTATTGGCGGTAGAGGGCTGGTGTGCCCTGAATGCGTACGATGAGTGGGATGGATCATAGTGACGTTTGCGGCGAGGTATATGTTCATCATGGTCACGTTGCGCAGTGTGGCACATGTTACTAAGGAAAGAGAGGTTTTATTCAATTTATGTAAGGAGATGTGGCGATACATGGATGATGTTGCTTGGTACTGTCGGTGTATGGTTGAAAAGAAATAAAGGGGGATGCGTGAGCGCCGTTACATGTTTTTTGGGCTTTTCTGAAGATGACGGTCGTGTGCTTGCCTCCTCTTCTTTCCAAGTGTTTTCGATGGGTTGTGGTATGCCAGGGAAGGAAATGGTGAAAGGGATCCCGTGCTATGGTCCCCTATTGACGAGCCATAGTGCATAGTCAATATGAGTCCGATCGACGCCGCGGATAGGTGACTAGGGTTGATTTACTCCCGTAAATTGTGTCGAATACTCTGGTCGAAAGAGCCATCGGTGTGATGAACTTTGCGTAGATGGGCACGGAGGTCTGCTGGGCGGAAGTAGCCTTTGCCGTTGATACGATCGCAGCCTGGTTGTGGGCAATCGAAGTAGGATTTGTCGTGGATAGTGCGCATGTGTTTGACCCATTCCTTTGACGAGGCGAAGACACCTTGTGCCCGAAAAGATACGGTAGCAGGCTTTGACTCCGTACAACCTACCTTTGGACACCATTCGCGATTATCCATGTGTCTGACCTGTTCGCCTTCTCCGATGTGATGATAGTTCCGAACGTGTTGAGTGAGATGGTCTTTTCTTTTAAAGCCATTCTTTCCTCGGTATTTCTTGCAATACTTGCATGGGAAACGCTTAGCGTCCTCTCGATGGGTCCGCTGATGCCTCTGGTATGTGTCGAGCCGGGCGAACTTCTTCTCGCAGCCGTCATGCTTGCAGATGAACGAAGCATGGCCTGTGTGGGAAGCGTGTAGCCCTACCTCCCACGGGCTTTTGCCCACAAACATGCAATCATCACATGTTAAGGCATCCTGATGCATAGCCCTCATGTGAGTCATGTGTTCCCCCATTGAAGGGGATCGGAATTCGCAGGAAACGATGAGGCATTCTCGACTGAAAACATCGTACGGCGACTGCTGTGGCGTGAAATTGGCAGACATAACATTGGTTGTCTCGCTCATTGGGTCAAGGCATGTCGCTCCAGTGTCGACGAAACTGCTTGAATGGTGTTAAAGTTGACGCTATATATGGATCCAGATAATACTGACCTCTCATCGTAGCTTGCTTGAGAAGTGACCAGATTTGTCTGGCTCGTAGTATAACAGCCCGTAGCACCTGCGTCGGAGACGCCGTG